CTATACTATACTATACTATACTATACTATACTATACTATACTATACTTATTCTATACTATACTATACTATACTATTCTATTCTATTCTTATTCTATACTATACTATACTATACTATACTATACTATACTATACTACACTACACTACATTACACTACTCTACTCTATTCTTATTCTATACTATACTATACTATACTATACTATACTATACTATACTATTCTTATTCTATTCTATTCTATTCTATTCTATTCTATTCTATGCTATGCTATGCTATGCTATACTATACTATTCTATTCTATACTATACTATACTACACTACTCTACTCTACTCTTATTCTATTCTATTCTATTCTATTCTATTCTATACTATACTATACTATACTATACTATACTATATACTATACTATACTACACCACACCACACCACACCACACCACACTACATTACTCTACTCTACTCTACTCTTATTCTATTCTATTCTATTCTATTCTATTCTATTCTATTCTATACTATACTATACTATACTATACTATACTATACTATACTACACTACACTACACTACACTACACTACACTACACTACACTACACTACACTACACTATTCAGACAAGTGGCCGTCCAGGCTGTTCTTGAAAGTCTCCAGCGATGGAGCATTCACAACTTCTGAAGGCCAGCTAGTCCAGTCAGAGTGGACTGCTGACTGGGGCACAGAACAGAAGACAATCTAATCAGCTGATCCTCAGCTCTGATACAGAAACACGGGCACACAAATACACACCCACACATATACAAACACACTGCCCAACAGCTGACTTTTGGAAATTGAGCCATCTCCCCTCCTACATTCTGGACGTCTAGATTTTAAACCGAGGAGAATAACCTCTGCTTTTAGCATCCCTCTTTTTAATGGCAGGCACATATGCTCCCTGTCCGAGCTGTGTTCCCTCACTTTAAGGGTTGGGTTTTTTTTTTTAATTTTTAGAGGTGTCATTTATGAATGGAGCTGCCCCCCCCTCCCCCACTTCCCCCTCCCTTGCCATCCACTCATTAACAAAACAAACTTCTGCAGACAGAAGCCGACGGCTCCAGCTCAACGAGCAAATGACAGATGAGAAACGGCCAGGGATGCTTGCTGGGGCCGACGGATTAATACCAGGGAACGGTTCCCTGGAGGGGAACTGTAGCTTTTCCTTAATGATTTCGTGGGAGGACGAGGCTCCTGGCCAAACAGTGCCAGGCTTACCCCGTGTTTCAAGGACCAGAAGTCTTGCTTTCCACCCAGATGGCATCTTGTAGAGTAAATTTAGATGGCTGGGAGATTAAAAAAGAAAAAGATTGCTAATGTGCCAGGGAAGAAAGAGACTCGCTTGCTGATGTCAGGGGGAGATTTCTGTGCCCACAAACAGCTCCCTATCCAAACGGAGGCCAAACTTTGAAATATAAATTAAACCGGAGCCAGTCCTTCTGCAAAAGAACCGCATCTTTACTTCCAAGAATGTCTCAAGGTGTTATTGAGATCCTGTCAGCATTTGCAGAAAATAATAATAGTAATTTAACAATTGGAAATGTATCTATCTGCTCAGGAAAAAAAGAGAGGAATATCAGATTTGATGGAGGGAAAATTCTAGGGAGACAAAGAAAGTCTCTTTCTTTCTTTCTCTCCCTCACAAACATACACACACTCTGTGTGTGTGTGTGTGTGTGTGTGTGTGTGTGTGTGTGTGTGTGAGAGAGAGAGAGAGAGAGAGAGAGAGAGAGAGAGAGAGAGAGAGAGAGAG